ATGTACATGTAACCGGGATCAGGTCAGACCCAGTCTGTAAGTACATGTAACCAGGATCAGGTGAGACCCAGTCTGTAAGTACATGTAACCAGGATCAGGTCAGACCCAGTCTGTAAGTACATGTAACCAGGATCAGGTCAGACCCAGTCTGTAAGTACATGTAACCGGGATTAGGTCAGACCCAGTCTGTAAGTACATGTAACCGGGATCAGGTTAGACCCAGTCTGTAAGTACATGTAACCAGGATCAGGTTAGACCCAGTCTGTAAGTACATGTAACCAGGATCAGGTTAGACCCAGTCTGTAAGTACATGTAACCGGGATCAGGTCAGACCCAGTCTGTAAGTACATGTAACCGGGATCAGGTTAGACCCAGTCTGTAAGTACATGTAACCAGGATCAGGTTAGACCCAGTCTGTAAGTACATGTAACCAGGATCAGGTTAGACCCAGTCTGTAAGTACATGTAACCAGGATCAGGTTAGACCCAGTCTGTAAGTACATGTAACTGGGGTCAGGTCAGACCCAGTCTGTAAGTACATGTAACCAGGGTCACGTTAGACTATTTAGTTACAATGCCGATAAACCTAATATGTACCAATCCTTAATCTTCCAATTTAAATATGGTTTTTGCTCTAGAGAGGTTTTTGGTCAAAAAGCTACACAGTTTGCATGTGCATCTCAACATTTTTCATTTTGACATTTTCAGTTTTCCGAAGACAGACACAAGGCTTACATACACCTGTACATGAAAGACAGTGACTTCTAAAATTCATCATTACAAATATTTTTGTATAGTGAACAGACGTTTACTGTCATTTGCCCCTTACGTGTCAGTGGAGTCTGTTACCGATATATGCATGTACAACCACCGTCTTTGCCTCATGTAGAGAATTTTATCCTCTAATCAGCCAGTAAGGTTGGCCTCAGTGCCTCAACCATGTTAACTGCTTGTGATGGTCTCTTTTCCTAGTTGACACACTTAAATTTTGTTCCTTTAAAGGTTTGAGCAGGAGATTCAGACCGGTCAAGATGAGGAGGAGGCTGATCTCCAAGGCTCCGCCTCCCCTGGACCTCCCATGGTACCACCTGGGATACCCCAAGCCCTCTCTGTCCTTGGCACACCTGATCCTAACCTCATGAACCTACGCTTTCCAGCCCCGCCTGAAATAACCCCTCCTGCCCCTCAACCGATGACCACGCCTGCTCCTTCCGAGCCACCCAGCCTTCATCCACCGACCCCAGGTGGTGCCCCACTGAGGTTTGCCGTGCTGCCCCCTCCCCCTCCCCCAGGAACCATTCCCACATCCACCCCCCTAGAGCCCCCAAGCTCCTATCAGCAGCCTCCCAGTACCGAAGGTCAGAGGTTACCAGTGCCAGGTCAGATGTCGTCACAGCCCTTTCCACCAGGGGTTCAACAAGTTGTTGGTTAGTACAGAATTTTGAAATGTACATGTACATGTACATACATAGATGGAGAAAAAATCAGTGTTGTCTTTATGGATATTAGTCAGTGTGAAGGATGCAAGACAAGTTGTCTTTATGGATATTAGTCAGTGTGAAGGATGCAAGACAAGTTGTCTTTATGGATATTAGTCAGTGTGAAGGATGCAAGACAAGTTGTCTTTATGGATATTAGTCAGTGTGAAGGATGCAAGACAAGTTGTCTTTATGGATATTAGTCAGTGTGAAGGGTGCAAGACAAGTTGTCTTTATGGATATTAGTCAGTGTGAAGGGTGCAAGACAAGTTGTCTTTATGGATATTAGTCAGTGTGAAGGGTGCAAGACAAGTTGTCTTTATGGATATTAGTCAGTGTGAAGGATGCAAGACAAGTTGTCTTTATGGATATTAGTCAGTGTGAAGGGTGCAAGACAAGTTGTCTATGGATATTAGTCAGTGTGAAGGATGCAAGACAAGTTGTCTTTATGGATATTAGTCAGTGTGAAGGGTGCAAGACAAGTTGTCTTTATGGATATTAGTCAGTGTGAAGGATGCAAGACAAGTTGTCTTTATGGATATTAGTCAGTGTGAAGGGTGCAAGACAAGTTGTCTTTATGGATATTAGTCAGTGTGAAGGGTGCAAGACAAGTTGTCTTTATTGATATTAGTCAGTGTTTTTATTAGTAAGTGTTAACATTTTTATGTTTATAAAAACATGCTTATTTACATTTGTTGTTTAATTGTACATTCCTGTTTAACATCAGTAATTGAGTATTGTTTTATCCTTCTGTAGCTGAGGCACAACCATTGCCTCCAAGGCCTGCATTTGTACCCCATTCAGTCCGCGCACGCGCCCCAGTTCCAGCACACCGCCCCCCTATGAACCCCATGCATCGACCTCAAATGCCCCATCACCCAGTCCCACCTTTCATAAACTCCTTACCAAGACCTCGTGGTCCTATGAACTTTCCTGCCATGCACCACCCCGGTGGGCCCCCACAGGGACCCCCTCCAGGCCCCATGTTGCCCCCTGGCTATCCTATGATGCCACCACGGCCAATGAGAATGGCGCAGCCTTCACCAACAGTCATCCAAGCCAAGCCAGTCAAATTCAGCCAAACCAAAAAGGAAGAAAAGACTGACAGGCCATCGGGAACTCCAAAAGTGGAATCTGTCACAATTTCACAGCAAGCATATAAGGGTATTTATTCTTTCTTCAAACTCTATATAGAGGGTTTGCGATGGTTGTCACCTTGCTGGCCAGTGCTTTTGTTCCACTGGGTTTGCGCAAAGGAAGTTTCCATGTGAGACAAAGAAATGCCCTGCAAGATGGCTACCATGCAGAGCCACTATCGATACATCAACCCTGAAGCTATAGCCATTAGTATCAAAGATGAAAATGGTGGAGCTACTGGCTATGGCTTACATAGGCACTGGTATTATCTGTAGCCACAGCCAAGTTATTCAGATATTGCCTTTAGAATACAGTGATTTAATCAGTATCAGGTACCAGCAACATTGAGACTCTTTCACCCACTTTTTGGGTTGCTGGTATCTAATATTAGGCCGTATCCAAATAAACATGGCTTCACCTTGAAATTACACATGACCCAATGGGAAGTGGCTGTAGCCAGTATCATACATCATGCATAATTTCAAGCCAGGGCCCACTGATTTAGACGCAGTCTATGCGACTGATAAAGGCTGGTTCATATTTTGCACGAAAGTGCAAACAAACGAGAATTTTTGATGTCAGATTAAATATTCGCATTACGAATTTGCAAGCATTCAGCACATTTCAACTTGAGCAATGTCAAATTTGCTTCACTTTTGCACTCGTGAGGTATAAACCAGCCTTAAATGTAAACCAATAATTTTAGAGTGTGTTATATTGTGTGATTATGCTTGTGCAATTACATTTCTGCTGTGATTCCTTTCCTTGTAAACAAACTTAGGCTAAGCAGCCATCTTGAATTGTTTTCTTCGTAGATTATGCTATTTTTGGTCTTTGTTTCTGACGTACAAGACATAATTCAAATTGAGTGTGAGTTTGAATAGATATTACTCACGCCGCTACATGTATCTTAAAGTAATCATCAACTCACCATTACAATTACTGGGACCAGGTGAATTTTCTTGTTTAACTAGAACTTATTTGAAGGACCAGAAAAGCTGAGGAAAACCAGACAAGTTCCAAGAGAATGGCATGATGCTATAATAAGTATAAGACAAGTAACTTGCTGTGCCAAGTGAAGCCTACTGGTCATGTCCCATGTTAGTACACAAACCAAAGGAAAACTTGACATATTCTCAAATCTGCGTCTGTATTCTGAAATGATGGGCCAACAAAGCTGATTTGCACACAAACCCCAAAAAATGTACCATCGGTGATGGAGCATTTTGGCCTACTTTATGTAAACACGAAAATATGTGCACTTATTTGCTGCGGATGAAATTTGCAGAGGCATTTCGATATGTCAGGTTGATGACAAAATAATCAATGTATTCGTAGTTTGTAATGGGTTGAAATTTGTTCCTTCTTATATTAATGTGTTCTATAAATGCGCATGAATTCAATATGTCTGCTTTCAGGATGACATCGAATTTCTCTCTGCATTGCGCTAGTGCTATCTGGTAATTATGGCTCTGCGGAAACTCAGGCATATCAGAATATATCCGTTAGTGCAGTATATGTCCGAGTGTTTTTATGAGAGCAAACATTTGCTACCGTTTTTCCCTCAGTGCAAAGCCCTGCATTTACCCAGCCTGCTGCAGCCAGCCAGCTACCTGGCATGTATGCAGCAACAGCAGCGGTAGCGCAGCCTGCAGCAGTTGACTACAGCACCATGGCACAGCAACAACAGCAACATCAGAATGCAGAGGCTGTCGCCGGCACCTCCACAGCAGAGCAAAAGAAGAAGGAGAAAAAGAAGAAGTTTATACGGACTGCAGCTAGCACCGTCTGGGAAGATGATAGTTTAGCTGAATGGGATTCAAGTAAGTCAACTGTTTACTCCAATAAGGCGCTGTGCAGGTTGCACGGAAATCATGTACTTATTCTTGGAACAGGTACATGTACGTGTACTTGCATTCANGGTGCAGCGCACAACACAACACAGCTGTGCTTCTTTGAGGTGTTTACCAAGTGACCCAAAGAGTGACTTCAGCATAGGAGGGTTAATGTGTTCTATAATTCAATATGTCTGCTTTCAGGATGACATCGAATTTCTCTCTGCACTGCGCTAGTGCTATCTGGTAATTATGGCTCTGCGGTAACTCAGGCATATCAGAATATATCCGTTAGTGCAGTATATGTCCGAGTGTTTTTATGAGAGCAAACATTTGCTACCTTTTTTCCCTCAGTGCAAAGCCCTGCATTTACCCAGCCTGCCGCAGCCAGCCAGCTACCTGGCATGTATGCAGCAACAGCAGCGGTAGCGCAGCCTGCAGCAGTTGACTACAGCACCATGGCACAGCAACAACAGCAACATCAGAACGCAGAGGCTGTCGCCGGCACCTCCACAGCAGAGCAAAAGAAGAAGGAGAAAAAGAAGAAGTTTATACGGACTGCAGCTAGCACCGTCTGGGAAGATGATAGTTTAGCTGAATGGGATTCAAGTAAGTCAACTGTTTACTCCAATAAGGCGCTGTGCAGGTTGCACGGAAATCATGTACTCATTCTTGGAACAGGTACATGTACGTGTACTTGCATTAACCATGATTCCTTCAAAAGACGTACAATATTAGTTATCACGAGTGCCGAGTGGTATACGGTACACAGACACATTGCATTCTGTGTTCCAAGAGTGCAGGTGTAATAACAAATTTATCTTCAAGCAAACATGACGTACAGTTATAAGGCCTGTGTGCGCAAACGCCCCACTTTTGAATTTAAAGTATAATTTTGAAGTTGTGCATTTTGCCTTAAGTGTAAAAATCACGCATTGTGTTGAGTTAGAATTGCGCATTACTGGAGGTTTGACATGGACCGTGCAACATGGTTACATGTCACACTGCTTGTTGCCATGGATCGACGAATCAGTATTGGGAATTCAAGTTCACCTGAAGATAAGTACATGTAACAGAACACAAAGTAGAGATTCCTTTCATGTGCAGTCTCCTTCACTAAAGGACTGTCAACATTGTAGTTGTAGAAGACTTTCAGCAATAGTGTATGTGTGTGTCAGACTGGATTTCAGAACAAGTTTGACTTCCTTTTTGTAATACATGCATTTTGTTTGGCAGTATATACATGTACACTGTATGGACATGGACTTGTGGTCAACCGAACCAAAACGGGAACTGGTTATCCATTAGAGTGGTTCAGTATCTTTCATGTATAAATAGGTATTTTCTAACACCCTTCATGGCTTTTACAAACTTTCCCAAGTCCTTTAAACTCATTGGGCAAATGTTTAACCTTTCAGGTGGTATGAAATACACCTTACATGTACATGTAAGTTAGTAGTGACTGGCCTACATGGTCCTTAACCCTAACGTTCCCAATCCATCAATTTACAACAACAGAGTTTGTTGAAATTTGATGGGTTGAGGTCCGTGTACATACATGTACATATGAAACTTATTACACGTAGTGTTAGATTATGACAGGACGAGCACTGTACAGATGCAGTAGCAGTGATGGGTTTTGACTGAGTGGGGATGGTTGGTAACGCCCAGTACCTGCTGCTGGGTGTTTGATGAATGGTGCTGCTGGAATGTGTGTGCCTGTAAACGATGGGGGTCATTTGGTCATGTACCTGTACTTAACCCCTTCACAGCGGGATTCTTTTGAGGGTGACTGCTAGGCTGTGGTATGCCCTGAATGGAGGGCTTTGTCCAGCAGCAGGCCCCATTGAACCAGCAGCTGCATAGTGAATAGACTGTATGAGTGGTATGCACTAATCCTCACGCAATGGGTAGTAGCAGTCCTCTGTAGGGAGGGTTAAGGAGTAGAATAAATTGGCCCAGTGTGTTTGGTGACCTTGCTTTTTTAAGAGAAGTCAAAGATAAAAACAAAGAAATCTGTGCCCCTACAAAAAACAACTACAGTGTTGTATAGCCCTGCAGTTGTTGGCTCTTGAAGGGACGAGTACATGATGTTCCCATTCCTTATATGACCAAGAACCCCCACTCAGCCAAAACCCAACAATTTACTGCCTGTTGGAGTTTGTTGGGCTGTGTACTGATATGGCAAGTGGACTGTTGGAATCCGGCGGGTTGAATACATATACCCCACCCAGCAGCGAAAGGGTTTTGGAATTTGACTGGATGGGTCAGCCTTCAAGAAAAACTGCTGAGAGGGTGAGGGTTAATCTATGGCAATATGGGAGAAACCAGGCAGTGGTATTGGTCAAAGTCAGGGCTGTGATATAGACTTCCTTCACAATTAACCAAGTTGTATTTTCTTTTCCAATGTCAGATGACTTTAGGATCTTCTGTGGTGACCTTGGCAATGAAGTAACAGAAGACCTTTTGGCTAAAGTCTTTGGCAGATACCCATCATTTCTCAAAGCAAAGGTAATAATCATTATTGTGTTCAAGTGTCCATGAAGCTGTTGTAGAAAATCATGTGAGTTTGCAAATGATGTGAACTACATGTATTTAAATGTCATCGCCTTTCATAAGGCAGGAGTTAAACCGGTGCCAAAGATAGCAAAGATTACCTTTGCATAAGACATTTGTTATGAACTGCAAACAAAATTGAGCTGTTAACTCCTTATTGAGCTGAAATGGCTTAAGGTATGGTGCTAGCCCAGATTTGGTGAGCGATGCATAAAGATGATGACTTGGACATTGGACACCACACCTTGATAAGTATGCAATCAGTTACACTGAAATTACATCAGCAGAGGATGGGATAAAACCCAGTATTACACTGTATGGATGCTTATCAAACTTAACGATACAACCTTGCAGGCCAATTTCTGAAATGCCCTGATGTTGTTAGCAGAAGATTGTGGCTTTGAATCTCCTCTTTCTGACATTATGAACTTTTTTCAAACTCTCTTTCTCTCTTTGACTGCACTGCATTGATGTTCTTACTTCTACATGACTACTTTTTAATAGTGAAAAACCATACAGCACCATTCATGCCATTAGAACTTCTGTGTTCCAGACATAAAAGTCTCTGTAAAAGTTGTAACAAATGTATGTATTGTAGTTTGTGCGTCACTTTGGTACATTTCAAAAAGACAAGGTTGGTAGAGAACACAGCAGGCAATGTGAACATGTTTAGTGCATGTGAGTCGTCATACAGACATGTTGCTTAGGCTGACTTTGCACATGAGTATTGCGGCCCCCTGAATGATCTTCAAAACATTTCATTTGGGGCATACACTGTTTGAATACCAAACTGACTCATTCTGTATGATAAATGTATTAGGCATAAAAGAATTAAACTAAGAAATAAATAAATTAGTTAATTATGAAATACACTTCCATCTGAAATGGTTTAAATCTCTTTTTGCCCATGCAGGTTGTTAGAGACAAGCGCACAAGCAAGACTAAAGGTTATGGCTTTGTCAGCTTCAAGGATCCTAATGACTTTGTACAGGCAATGCGGGAATGGAACGGTAGGAAATGATACAAGATTAACAAACCTGTCTTTGACCTCCTCTAGGTCTCGTTTGGCAACCTGCTCTATACATATTATATGCCACACAGTCCCATACAGCTGAAAGGAAAACCTTACTAACTGCAGCCAAATGTGACTTCCCAAACTTATAATAAGCTCTGCAGTAACTAAACTCCACTCTTTTCCCAATGTTTTTGCATAGTGCGCCGTTTCTTACAATGACTGTTAAATCCAACAGCAGCTGTACATTTTTGGCCTTCGTTACATTTTTGCATTTAACAGGGTTGGAAAAAAAAGTCCATGCCAACAAGATTCAGTGTCCTTCATCATTCCGTTGATGAATATTTATTTCTACAAACCATGCTTTGCAACGTGAATGCCTAGTACCTGCAACTTTAGAGTCCTTTTTTTGTAAACTTATACCAGCAGGATGTTGGGTAAGAATCAATAATATACTACGTACTACTTGCTTCACCAACAAATGTGGATTTCTTATCTGACTTAATTTAGAGACAAGACAATGTAAAGTATAATTGATTTCATGGAATGGGTCAGATACACACTCCATTGATTTCAAGAACTTTTGCCAGATTAATCTGCAAAACAGATCACAAAAACAACTCTTTTTATTGGAATTATCTTGGTATGGCTTTTACCTAGTAAGCAGAAGGCAAATGAGTGGCCATTCAATTATGTCCAATGAGAATTTGCACTAAGGAAACTGGTATGGATTTGGTCTCTTCCAGATGTACATGGAAACTGTTGAACGTGAAAATAAAGATGTCTGTAGAAAACTAGAAATCAAGTCCAAAATGAAAAAAACAACTGCCATGCTCACTTTTATTCTCAATTAATAACACTATTTTTGAGAACTGGTTTCCAAAGATTGATGTTTATTATCCAAACAGTTGTTTTTTCCTTATGAATACCTTTCCTATAATGCTTCCTTGGAAGTGTGGACTCGTTACCTTGCTGACATCAGTTATAAGTGAACACTTTGGAAGGGGGACTTGAATTAATTCAGTTGAAGGATAAGAGAGATCAGAAAATCAGACCCACTTTTCTCTTGTGATGGTATAAATTAATACTCTCATTTTGGTAATAGCATAATGGCTTCATTTGGTTCATTCCAATGTTTTCTTGTCACAGGGAAGTATGTTGGTAACAGGCCCATCAAACTAAGGAAGAGCACTTGGAAAGATCGCAACATGGACACTTACAGGAAGAAACAGAAGGAGAAACAAAAACTAGGACTGAGATGATGAATTTGCTAGACACTAAAGTCAATGTATAAACAGTGTAGTTATCAGAGATGTACTGCACAGTACGTATTGTGAGTCTGTTACAAGACCATTACAAGTCCAGACCAGCCACAAGCAGTATCATATTGTATTTAGTTGTTGAGTTTTCGGGGGGGGGCAAATAAATTTTTTTCCCCTTGGAATGATTGTCCAAATTTTTCATCTTTCACCGAATCACTATCAGAAAAGGCAGTACTTTTTCTCAAGTTTGGCATTTTAATTTTTCCTTGAAAAATGGCAATTTTCCCCTAGAGGTAGGGAGGTTCCCTGCCCCCACTCAACTTGATATGCCACTGATCACGAGCTGTTTGAATGAATTTGACAGAAGAGTCTGTTTTGTTTTCCAATTTCCAACGGTTACTCTCTTGATCAATTCGGGATCGACCTGACTACAACGCTGCCTTTGTGGATTAGACTTGATGTATTGTCAGGCACCCGGACTTCTTCAAAACTTCAAGATTGAAGGCATTTTTTAACCTGTGACGTGACTCAGAGCTGTGTTTCCCATGTAAGACATTCTCGGCATTAATAGTTTGGCCACGTTTTCCCAGTGCATTTTCTATAGATTGTTTCCTTTGGTGTCGTCACGCTGTTGTCCAAGAACTCGCGCTACCTATGCTAAGTCTGCCACAGCAACTTCTGTGTGTGTTTAAAGGGTGTGAGCGCGCCCTTGACGACAGCCCATATGATGCAGGATATGGGCGGAGAGCACCCCCCCCGCCTTTGTGTTGGTTATTGTTTGATCAGAATCTTAGGAATTCTTTACAGACATCTAGGGGGATGTGTTAGGTAACAATAGTCTGGAGTGTGTATAGGGATTGGGTATTTGGGGGGTACCCATCGGCCTCACATCGTCCGCGGTATCCGACAGTGGCACTAAAGACACCAGGCCATGGTAGAGTAGACTTCATAGCCAAGATCAAAGTCAAGGTACCAAACATCCTTGAAGTGTTGTTCACAAAGGAAGTATTGAATGTACCCCTAGAGCTTAGCAGTGGACCTGTTGAATAACATTACTGAAAATTAAGTACAGGCTTTGGATATCACAGTCGGACAGAGCTGTTATCTGGAAACCATTGTCGGCCATCAAGGATTCAAATCTAGATTCTCGAAGTTGTACCGACATTAGTCATGCTGAACAAGTATAGGCCTGCATGTATTTGAAACAAAATCAAGAAGTCGTTACAACGTATTTTAATGGCAAATCTGAATAAAGATTTCTTGACTGTTGACTGCTTATTTTGAATTCGCATTTAAATCTGTTATGTACGTATACATACGTAAAATGGGTAATAAAGTTGTTCGCGTGGAATTCACTGGTGCAACACTTTGGGTTTTTCCCATAATTCCTGAATCGAGACGAGGCTAAGGCTGTTTCCGAATTACTTGGCTGTGGCTAGAAATTACACACGAGTCTATGGTAGTAGCTGTAGCCGGTTCCCATTGTGTGTAAATTCAAGCCGCAGCCGAGTGATTCGTGGCAGAGGACAAGTACTCGCCCACCACGAAAGCGAAGAGAAATACACTGGGTAAGTGGGAATGTTGCAGGTACATGTACGTGATATCTACGCCAGGCATACCCTGCAGACTACTAGTGAAATCTCCAGTTTTGTAACACTGACCGTAATTCCACCGACCATGAAACTTTACGACATGAATCAAGAGTTGAACAAACTATACGACTCGTCTTAGTAAGATTTAAGAAAACGCTTTAGATTTACGGGGGAAAGCTCTTGATACTTCCTGTGAAAGGTGCTGGTACTCATTGAAAGGCAAGCAAATTGTTTCTGGGGAAAAAAATTGAGTTGACTTTTAGTTTGCAAACCTGGTTCTCATTTTTTACCGGTTGGTAACTAAAATGCCACGTGCAGTTGTTCATGTTGCTAGGACATGTGATTGACGGCAAGGTAAGGTAGACTACATGCATGGTGAATGGGTTGAACTGAAATAGGAGGGATTCGGTACACCTAAAGAAACTATACGTAACGATTGCTTAACTCCTGGTTTCCGTAGCAACTCGTCTGTAAGCAGTAGAAATGGCGCCTGTTCTGTTCTTCCTTATATCAGAGCAAAAGTAGTTCTTACGATTATTCTGGCTGGACAACAAAGGTTCTGCTCACGCTGACAGGAAATGAACAAAAGCGTGATTTCGTGACAATTAATTAAATGTGCTGTGCATTTGAAAAGGTTGAACACAAGTTTTCAACTCAGTGAATTTTGCTGCAATTATTTTTGGGTGATGTTGGATTCGCTTAGCTTGTGCGTTTACCTGAAGTATGAAGCGATCTTAATGCTTGGGCAGCCGCTGTTCTTTTTATTGGTCAGTGCCGAAGTCACATGGCTATGATACGAAGCTCTCAGATCTTGCAATTTATGGAAATGAGCCAGGCACAGTTAAGTAACCTTAATGTGCCGGTGTCTTTACGAAACAACCATCGTGATTGGTCACCTTGGGAGAATCACGCTCCGAAAGTGTGCGTTAAATCTGTGGGGTATAAAAGAACATTTTCGTTGGACATAAAGCATACCGAGTCTTGGATCTTACGGAAAACGTACTGAAATTTGTCGGTAAGTTAATTGATTTGATTTTTTATTTCAATTTAGAAGTTAGATCGCCCCTTTGAGCTGCCACATTTGGGTGTACTTGGGACCTAATGAGGGTGCATGTGATTTTAATGCACGATACACGCATTCGGACTAGGAAATTACACCGGACTAAAATTCTGAGGAAAGCTGTTGTAGATAAAACATTTACGAAAACGGGGGCGAGGTGGAAGGTGAAATCTGAACATGACGATTTTCCTCTTTGCGGACAATGAGTTATATCTTTCTCTTTTTAACTGCAAACAGAGGAAAGGAGAAAATTAGAAAGAGTATCCATTCCCCGACAAAGAGAGGAATATTCGGAGTACCTCCTGTAGATGCAAACTAATCTGTGAAATAAAACACCTGAATGTGGAATGTAGGAAAACAAGAAAAAGTAAACTCTCTGCGGTTCAAAACGGTCTTCAGATTTTGTGACGCCGTAACGTATCCTCTTTGGCTTTCTATAAGGGAAACTGTAAATGCAATCCGAGCAGAGCTGGACGCTCATAAATGCGGGTACTGGGCGTTGGCGTGTACAGTCCTGATCGCAGAACTTATAGTTCTTGCCATTTTACACAATAAAAGAGATTTGAGGCTTTCACCGTGCATGCAGAGACAAAATGACCAATCTTATACGATCCTTGCTTCTTTTCAGAAGTTATTATTGAAACATAGCGCCTTCCTTATTCCTTATTCCTTAAGGAGATTTAAAATAAATTAAAATGATAAATATTAAAGACAATGAGTTAAAATTGGTAAGTTGGACGCAGGCCCAATCCCAAAAAACACTCACATTTAATATGACAAATTCACACAATAAATACTTTCTAAAATATGTGTTAAGATTCTCCTTGAAAGACTACACTAATCGAAGCTCCAGTGGTAGGCTATTTCCAAAGGACTGGGCCAACCTGTGAGAATGATCGAAATCCATATCGTTTTGATTTGGCTTTTGGCACTACTAGCAACAGCTGATTTTCTAAACGCAAACTCCTGCCTGGTTGAAATGTAGTGTTTGCAGGTAATCTGGGGCAGCACAATGCACTAGTTTGTAAGCATAGAAAATCAACTTGTACTCAATTCTATGACTGGCAACTAATAGATATCTGTTGAAATTGAAGTTACGTGATCTCTACGTCCAGTCATGGTAATTACTCGAGCTGCACAATTCTGTACTTTCCAAAGCTTACTAATAGTATTACAATTAACCCCATACTCTAAGGCTTTTTAATCAAGTCGATATGACAGTGGCCTGAACAAGTGAACACTACGCCCGAACAGACAAATACTTCGATTACAAGGGTGAAAATAGGAAACTCTTGACACTATTGATACGATTTTCCATTGAAAGACCAGAATCCATAATAATTCCAAATTTCTCACACAAGATGTGGGCCTAAGTATAACCTATTTGAAGATTCAGACCACTAGTGATATTTCTTATCAGAAAACAAACGAAACCCGTCTTTGAATCATTTAACTTCAACGTGTTGCACATTAGCCAAGATCTTATTTCAAGCACGCATGCGTCAATAATTCCTGTTGCTTCTTTCAAAGAGTCAATACCAGGTTCTAAGGCAGGGTACAACTGTTTATCATCAGCATATATTTGAAAATGAATGACATACTTCATGAGCATAACAGATAAGGGCCTTGTATTTTGGGCCCAAGTACAGACCCTTGTGGAACACCAAATTTAAGCGGCTTTCCATCCAAAAACACTCTCGTTAATTTAGCAAATTGTATCACTTAGATAAGATGTAAACCATTTAAGTACACTCTAAGTAATCCCAAATTGAGTGGTCTGTGGTGTCGAAGGGGGCGAAGGCTCAAGCATAAGGGATGTGAGAAATATAACATCTGTGGAATGTAATGGTCTGTATACGCAGACGGGTACACTTCATTAAATCACAATCATTACCATGTTTATTCATGATTTACCACAATCCTTTCAACAATCTTCGATAAGAAAGGTAAATTCAATATAGGACGAGAACTGTAATTATTCACAGTCGAGACCAGACTTCTTCAAAAGTGGGCAAATGTTTGCTTCCCTTAGCCAAGCTGGATCATTAGCCTTTGATAAAGATGCATTTACAATCTTTGTGATATAAGGAATTATTTGATTAACGTAGTCTTTCGAAAGCCAAGTTGGAAGCAGATCGAAATCACATGATTTGTTAACAATGTTGAAGGCGACCGGGTGTTAAAAATTCCTTTGCCTGCGTCTACAGAAAACAGAACCATTCCATGAAAGCACCAATCGACAACCCAGCAGAAAACATTTGGAACACAGGTTGAATTGTGAATCCATTTCAACATTGCTTGGATCTGTTCTGTTCCTCAGAAGCGTCTCATACAATCGCCATGGAGGACATTCTCTACCTGGGAGACAAGTACTTTTACACTCCTTATATCTACCCAGAATGGTGGCCAGAAGACGACTGGAAACGACAACTGATAGGAATCCTCATCTTCAACTGGATTAGCCAATATATTTTGTATTTCGTTCTTGGTTTGATCGACTACTTTTTTGTCTTTGATCATCGACTGACGAAACACCCCTTATACATAAAGGTCAGAATTGGGAATAAACTCTTGACAAATTGTAGAGCCCATTGAAAAGGTATCCTGAATTAAATTACACCGAAAGAAATTACACTTACAAGTGATGTTTTCCTTATTCGTTCTTTCCTAATTTTTCTTCTGTGTTCGCACCCGTTACACGGTAAATGAAGTAGAGTGCACGTACGTAAAACATGTCTGAACGTTGAGGATATCCTACAACATCGAAAGTACAACCCACGGTTTATATTATGGTATAATATAACTGACTACTTAATGGAATACTTTTAATATTTCAGGATCAGATGAAGCTGGAGATCAAATATTCTCTGAAAAATATGGTTTTCCAGACGGCCCTCTTTGCGCCTATATTTCTGATTGAAGTAAGAGGTTACAGTCGCCTGCATCAAGAATTCAACAGGGGAATATTCGGTCAGTTTTATACTAAGTTTCAATTTTGCTTTGCTTGCTCAGCCTTAGCTCCGGATGTAGATATTTACTCTAGCTTTCTATGGACAACTTCAGACTTTAGCTGTCGGGATTGATTTGTTTTAGCGATTCTTAATGACTTAACCTTGTTTCATTAAAAGTTCTGGTCTGATTACGTCATCAGCCCAAATTTAAGCACACGCGTCGCAGGCTAAGGTCACTGTATCTACTAGTTTTCAAGCGATTCCGGCAAACTTCGCTACAGACATTTCTTCAAAATAGATTTTTGAATATGTTCAACCTGGCAGAAGAGTGTGCTAGAGTGTAGCATGACGCACCGTTTCACGATTTAAGGAATAAAATTATGTCAAAAAACAACAAAGGTAAAAGTAGGTTCGTATCTATCATCAATTTTAAATCATAAAGCACTCCCGGTTTGGACAAGTTTCGACCGGAAACAAGCGTCAATTGATTTTACGTACACGAGTAGAAATCAAGGCGGAAGATTACGCTACCACTTTGCGCAAAACGCGAGCTGCGGGAAGTCACAGTTGATTTATGAGGATTTTTGAAGGTTTGACATGAGTAAATGTTTAAGTGCTTGTAATTTGACACCTGATTATGTCAATTTTTATAGAATATTAATTTTTATTTATGTCTTAGGCTTTAGTTAGTGTAACTTTGAAGAAGATGCAAAATTGCCAATTGGCCCCAAAAGTCTTTCAAAACGTGTACAAAAAAATACGGAAAACTTAAATATTTAAAACTCTATAATAAATCTGGTGATGACGTCACTATGCCGTCATTATTTGGCATACATCTTCAGATCACTCATGTTCAATCAATGGTGATCATTATCCAAGTGCGTGTGCGCAAGTTTTAAACTAACAGCGTAGCAACAGGTAATGTCTGATTTCACGCGGTCTGATTGCAAAACGATGCGTCATCCTTGTTAATGGTTCTTCCTGAAACGCAGCATAAATAATGAAATCTTACATGACAAATCCAAGTTACATTAATCATTTTATTTGTCACTGGCAATGATTTGTGCCCTGCCTCAGAAACTGTCATGAAAAATGTGGTTTTACATAACACCAAAATTATTTTAGTTCTTAACTAAAACAAAATGACTGTTGCCAAACTTGATCACTATCTATTGAAATAAAGAATGAGTTTTCCTAGTTGTAAAAACTAGATTCGTTTAATCTAGAAGACTGACTTAATCGATTGCACTCAAAAACTGGGAATCTGCCGGACAAAAATATTGTAAAATAAGTTTGAATTTGAACCAGATTCTCGCGCCTAATTATGTGAATTCAGACATTTCATAATGGAAATATCCGTCACATGTCTCATCTAAAAAAAAATCTGTCCTAATAAAACTAAATTCTTATAGTCAGGAATTATCCCGTTGTCAAACGTTTGACAAAAACGAGGATGCCTTTGTACCGTACTCTTGGGCAGACTTTGAGTAACATTCTTGCAGCGGCGAGTCACGGGTCTACTGCAGTCGTGTATGCATGTTTACATGTCTATGTGTCGACCCTGACGTCGGGGTACCGCACTGGTCAGTGTCTACAGCAGCGGAAGGGATGAACAGGAAATGTCACTAATTTAACGATTCTAGGTCAAGGAGAATGGACGAGGTTCGCCTCACCCACTCTTAGTACGAATCTCCAGTTCCGAGTCTATTCTCTTAGGCTGACTTAAACTATTTCCCACTGTTACACGAACATGGAGTCCCGAGTTTATGACACTCTTGCTGTAACCCTACGCCTGAGTGCACTCCTTTGTTCTATTCATTAACGGGCATGGGCTAAGCCATGACATCGATAGTATTTGGTTCAGTCAACACCGTCACTTCAGTGCTGGATACATACTCGGCTCTCTTCGTCTTGCACCTTGGATTCATTATTATACGTGTGCCATCGCAACGAAACCTTCCGGACTAAAACCACCACAGGACTCTATGAAATTGAGGAATGCTATATCAACCTCGTGTTCTTTAGAACCACTTTACAAACCACTCAAAATTTGCTTCACAGATACTTACATGTTCTATACATGTATATGAATCATTCCGAAATGCCCCCTCACTATCGAGGTCTTGCTCTCCTCAGAACTATTTTGCTGTTTTTAGAGATTGTTATATAGTGCCTCGCAGTGTTTCTCTTTGAAACAGTTGGTAGCTCGTTCGGCCATGGCTGGAAAGCAATGGATTTTGGGGATGTAAAATTGAAAAATGTATAAGATATTGCTTTATTGAGCCATGTCTAGTGCCAGTGGGAAGAGATAAGGAACATTTTTCAGTGTTTGCCTTTTTTCTGAATGATGATTTCCCCATACTAAACAAAGAAAAATTGTTCTGTCCTGTACTGCTTTTCGTCTGGGCTTGAAATACAGAAAACCCTTGGAACCGGGTTGATTTAAGTGAACACTTTTTATTTACTACTTTTAATATAAACCCACGGTTTGAAATGGTTTCCATCTTTCCAGGACCCCTGAATCCATTGGTGGAGATTATTGGCTTTCTCTGCTTCACCGACTTTACCAATTACTGGTTCCATCGATTCCTTCACCATCGTCTGATCTACAAGCGATTTCACAAACAGCATCACATGTGGAAGGTTCCCACTCCATTCTCTGGCTACGCTCTCCACCCTGTGGACGGATTCTTGCAGGGAGTCTCCTGGCACATCTTCCCATTTCTCTTCCCTTTTAACAGCCGTCTCTTCATATGTTTCTTCCTGTTTGTGCTGATCTGGACCGTCAGTATCCATGACAATCTCTGCGTCCTGCCCAAGGTTCTCCAGCCCATCATCAACGGAGCGGCACATCACACTGACCATCACATGTACTATAATTACAACTATGGTCAGTTCACCACCCTGTGGGATCGGGTCTTTGGATCGCATCGGGTGCCTGGTACCCACCGCGGTAAGGGACCATTGGATGATGTCCTTGCCCTAGGAGTAAAATCCGAAAATATGAACAACGGCAACAGCAATGGAAACGCCAAGACTCTGAAGGAAGAATAAGGCTAAATCATGTTAGTTATGTAAGTTACCAGTATGTCTGACAGTAAGATCAAAAATATATTTAATTGTATTATGACTACGATAGGGAATGTAATACAGACGTAAAAATAAGTTCTTTGGTTTGTCTTGGTGATAGTGGTCTCTAATTTAAATGATATTGTTTCAGTTGAGTTCCAAAGTCATATGGTAAATACCATCAGACAGGAGACACTGCAGAATTTATCAGTAATTGAAATTATAACATATCGTGGTCGAAGTAAGTTAAGTAATATTTTTTTAATTGTATATTATTATCCTTAAAGATTTATGTTTAAATTTGTTCAGAAGATGATCGATATGAAAAATGCGACAATTGTTGGATTCTTGGCATCAGTCATATGGATGATTTATATATATTTTGCATGTAATACTATTTAAAATTTAGTCAAGGCTTTACTGAAGCAATCTTGTCCTAGTGGTTCTTTCCTCACCTTCAACCTCTGCGGTCCAGGTTCCTTTCCTGGCTCGGTCTGTGTAATTTGGCTTGCAATCCCTTGTCGATTCTCTCGGTCGGTTTTCCCCGAATATTTTAAGGGGTTCCTGTACTCTTAAAATGTCTTTCCACTACCTTTTCTTTACAAGTTACTGTCGGCTTTGGCTCTCCCATGCCTAGGAAACAAAGCTCTCGAGAAATGCTTATATAGTTTTATTATCAGATATGAATAATACACGATATAATAATAGTAAAGAAGATAATAATGCAAAACCCTTCCCCGTCGGGAGTTTTTTTTTGTATTTTTTTTTATTTGTATTTTCTTTATAGAAATTTATTTTGTACTTTTTGTTCTTTCAGGTAAAGAAAAACAGTAAATGTTAAAGCAAGTATCTTTGAAGACTTCATTTATTTCATGTCTACCAGACACTGTTAAAAGTTATTTGGATTTTTTAGTCCACTTTGAGATAACTCTAAAATCGTGGTACGTACCGGACGGAATGACAGCATCAAATTTTATGAAGGCAAACTGTACTATAGATGGATTTCTTAGGATTTAAAACTTCAAATTTGAATTGCTTGTAATTTGATTTCCAAAGATTCATTATGATATCAGAGTAACATGCACTGCTCGGTATTATGTTCAGTATTCCAAGTTGTACAATAAACAGCGTATCTGAGAAAAACATGGGAAATTACTGTCCGGAACAATAAAGGAAGAAAGAAAGGAAAAAGCACCAAAAGAAATGAACATTAATTAGAATAGTTTTAAAACAGTGATTTGGTTCGCCTGGTCACTCATATAATTCAAACATTTCTATATGGATGATTTGGTTGTGCATATCTACCCAAAAAGAGACACCAAGAAGACTGCTAAGACAGTGAAATAATGTGCACATTGTGCTGAAGTGTCGGGAGGGAGTTGGGCTACATGTATGGTCCATGTACCTTGTGCACAAGCATTGGTTTATTTGAGAGTGGATGTAAAGTCCTACTGACCCTAAGAGATATCTCGCGATATGTCAAACGTTGTAAGCTATTGGCGCGGAATGAAAGAGATTTATACCGTCTATAGTAGTATGCCATTATGAGAAAGACGACTGTATTATGGATAAGAACATTCAGACTTTGTCGATCTCGTCAAGAAATGAGACTAGATGTTCTTAGGCAAAAACGGGAAACTAATCACAGTTAGGAGGGTATTTTTAAAAAGGAAAAACGGGAAACTAATCATCAAGGTTACGAAGATATTTTTAAAGGGGGAACGGAGGAGACAAGCAGGGAAATGGCGGCATGTAAGAGTACTTACAAGTCTTTTTTGACAATGTTGACAAAAACTGAACTAGAATTGTATCTCTAAACAAGCAAGACTCATCAGTTTCAGTTCGCTTAGACCGCTGCGCGACCTACCCGATAGGAACCTTTACGTATTGGTAACTGAGGGGATAGCCTTTCGTCAAGGCCGTCGTGGCTGTGTGTGTGTAACCGCAAAGCGACTGGAAAGGAAACTGCATACACAAGCGGCTCAGCACGAGGGCCTTTTCCAACTTGTCAGATATTTCTTATGTTTTTCTCTGTATTTTCCATTTTTGCTGCCCCATTGGGGTGGCAAAAATCCCAACCAATCATAAGCGAGGGGGTCAGCATAAATTAACCTACTATGCAAATTGAAAGTATACGAAAGATGGCGAGCGTGTTAAGTGTGTCGGCGGCCGTGAGTGCAGGTCAGTTGCCAGAGCTGAGCAGTATTTGGACAGTTCTTCTGCTGGAAAACCTAATTCACCTTGCCGAGTTTAAATTGTTGCAGCGTTAGGCTATTGAAGTATCTGTAGGCGGGCGTGACGTTTTCGTCTTTGCCCATGTACGGGATATGGTAAGACAAGATTAAGATTGAGCTCCATATTTCAAACTGGCGTTTCGCTTTGACCATTCGGCCTTAATGAACTGCTACTTGCTAGTGTTATTCCAACGTCAGCACCACCCCATACCAACAAACATCATAGTTGTCATCTCTCCGCCTTTTGCCCTCATGAAAAACCAGATGGAACATTGCGTAAGCTTTGGAGTTGATGCCGTTAATTTCGGAGACTCTATGCTTCAACTGTTTACATAAAATTTATGAATAATGCATATTAGAAAGCTTACGAATAATTCACCACAAAAACCTCAAAACCAAATTGGAAAAGGTCTCGTAGCTGCATCACTCGTTTGGTTTCCTGTCCAGTCGCTTTGCAGTTACACACGCACAGCCACCAAGGCCTTGACGAAAGGCTACCGAGGGGAGGGAAGAAAGTTACAAATTCTATTTGCACTTTACAACTTTTGGTGTATCTAGAGGATTGCTAATGATCGTTTGTGTAACGGAGAGCAAGTCTTGTGTTGTTCAACGATTTGTTCGCCACGTGTTGTAAAATCGTGCAGTTTAATAAATCTAAAGTCTGCGTACCTAGAAAACGATGCGTTAGTCGCACACCAACCAGGTGGAGCTGCATCTAGCTTAAACGGACAGATAATTGCGTCTTTCCTTTGTGACGCCAAAAAGTGAAAAGTGACGTGACGCTGAATAGTTTGAAAATTGTCTGGTTTGTACGATTCGGAATGTGCACTCTATCAGACGCTTTACACGAGACAAAAGTAAAACAATTTATAGTCTCCAATTTGGTCTGTCCCTTTTAGAAGTACAATTTCAAGCGGCTTTGACAATCGGTCATCATTAGCCATTTCTATCATTTCTGCGCTTATAACATCTTTGACTTTAGAGAAAAACTTGTTTCTTAGAAAATAAGTTCGTTTTAGCCCTAATTATGGCTCGTCTGAAATCGTGCCACATGCAAGCATTAAACACACAAACATTCTTGCGGTAACAACCATTGTAGGAGATCAATGTTCAGTCATGTAATGCAAAACTTTCTCTTGGACCAACCATTTGAAGTGATCATTAATTACCTTCATCATTTACTCTCATGCGTTTCAACAGTTCCAAAAGATGATTGTCCACGTCACTCTGGAATACGTGCAAAATGAGACAAGAACTTGTAGTAATAAAAGAAAGTTTCAAGTTGACAAAAATTGAAAATAATCATTTGGTATAATTTACGTATTGAAATGGAATTTCTGCTGTGGAAAAGAAGTAACGAAATGGAGTTCTTCAAAGGAAGACATTACAGGTTTCCAAAGGAGCTTAAACATACCTGTTGTAAAAAAAATAGGCCCCTTTATATACCTGCCATTGCAGTTGACCTAAGGAAAATGACAGGTGTTGATCATTGACCTTTTGGGGTTCCACAGGGTGTGCCAAAAAGGTAATCCAACTTTAAGGGGATAATATAGCTATATGGCATCTCTCACAGCATTTCGAAGGCAACATGAACGGCAATAAAATTGAAGATAAAAGCTTTCAAATGTCACCTTTCTTGCACAAGTGAATACCAATGGATTGAAATCATGGCACCAAAAGTACACTTGTTCACTTTCTTGCACAAGTGAATACCAATGGATTGAAATCATGGCACCAAAACTACACTTGTTCATTTGTTGAGCCTCGTCGCATTTCACTTGACCATAGAGGAAGGACACGCAAGGATTTTCTTTTAACAGGATTTTTAAAACCTTATTCTGCCTAAGTATTTCCACTGCTATTATCATTTTTCATGTCTACTAATTGGTAAAGTCGGTGAAGCACAGAAAGCCAATAATCCCTACCAATGGATTCAGGGGTCCTGGAAAGAGGGAAACCGTTTCAAAACGTGGATTTAGAAGTAGTAGAAAGTGTTCACTCAAATCAACCCGGTTCCAAGGGTTTTCTGCATTTCAAGCCCGGACGAAAAGCACCAAAAATTTGACAGATCAACTTCTCCTTTGAAAAGGTAAACACTGAGAAATGTTCCTCATCTCTTCCCATTGCCAGTAAACGATCGAGCTGCCAACTGTTGGAAAGAGAAAAACTGCGAAAGCAGTATAGCAACCTGTAAAAAACAGCAACATAGTATATTCCACTCTGATAATCAAGGAAGGATTCATTAAAGTTTCTCACAAAGATGCATGATCGTCCAAAGAGACTTGAATGTTTGCACGGTGCTCATAAAGGTTGGCGAGATTATCGTTGGCCCATTTTAAGTTTGACGAACCTGGAAGGAGGGCGCTGCTTCGTTGGGGGGAAATATTTTGCATTTGCATCAAATTTACCCACTTCATATAGCGCCCTCCTGTTCTTCCTGCCATGCTTCAAGTCTCCAACAGAGGTATTTTTTTTTTGTTAGCGGTTTCGGACAGCGGCCAAAACAGCTTTTTTTTTTCTTAATTTTATTTTTCTGTTTGGTTTTTTTTGTGACTAGAATCTCATGTATGTTCCTGTCCCATAGAGACAACTTTCATTACAACTGTACATGCGCACTTCATTTCAAGGTGATAAAAGTTTTTGGTGAAAGCAGACGGCATTATAGCGCTGACGTTTCAATGACTGATCTCGTAAAATACCAAAGAGTAGAAGCAAAAATACATTTCAGGAGGAACAATACTCAATTTTCCTCCATTCATGAGATTTTGTAAATTAAGACTAGTATCAAAAATGAGTTTTACAGACTCTTCCTAACAACAAAAAAAAAATTAAATTGCAAAATTTTGCACAGCCTTCTTCAATTAATTTTTAATAGAAAAGAACTTTTTTGAGACGAAACGTATCGATCCAACAGTGCACAAAATTCAAAGCCATTTTTGTATCCATTTTTCATTAACAAAATGGAATATGCATCACGAGGATGATGATTTTCTGTTTAATTGTACCGATTTCGTTAGTACCGATGCCATTTCATAAGGTAGAATTGTTAAATTAGTGACATTCCCTGTTCATCACTTCCGCTGCTGTGGACACTGACCAGTGCGGTACCCCGACATCAAAGTCGACGTGTCGACATGTTAACGCTCGACTCGCCGCTGCAAGAATGTTACTCAAAGTCCTCCCAAGAGTACGGTGCAAAGGCATCCTCTTTTTTGTCAAAAGCTTGACAAAGTAATAATTCCTTACTATAAAAATTAAGTTTTATTTGGAAATAAAATTGGTAGATGAGATATGGTAGGGATTTTTCCATTTAAATATATCTGAATTCACGCAATTAGGCGCGAAAATTTAGTTAAAATCCAAACTTGATTTACAAAGATTTTATTCGGTGGATTTCCAGTTTTTTAGTACAATCGATTAAGTCAGCCTTCTAGATTATATAAATCTAGTTTTTACAACCAGGAAAATTCATTAAACCTAGTTTTATTTGATCAAAAATCCCCAAAATTAAAATACCGACAGCTACAGTATGAAGTTGTCCATAGAAAGCTAGAGTAAATATCTACATCCGGAGCTAAGGCTGAGCAAGCAAAGCAAAATTTAAACTTAGTCTAAAACTGACCGAATATTCCCCTGTTGAATTCTTGATGCAGGCGACTGTAACCTCTTACTTCAATCAGAAAAATAGGCGCAAAGAGAGCCGTCTGGAAAACCATATTTTTTAGAGAATATTTCATCTCCAGCTTCATCTGTTCCTGAAATATTAAAAACATTCCTTTAAATACCGTAGTCAGTTATTTTATACCATTTAATCAGTATCAGGTACCAGCAACATTGAGACTCTTTCACCCACTTTTTGGGTTGCTGGTATGTAATATTAGGCCGTATCCAAATAAACATGGCTTCACCTTGAAATTACACATGACCCAATGGGAAGTGGCTGTAGCCAGTATCATACATCATGCATAATTTCAAGCCAGGGCCCACTGATTTAGACGCAGTCTATGCGACTGATAAAGGCTGCTTCATACTTCGCACGAAAGTGAAAACAAACGATAATTTTTGATGTCAGATTAGATATTCGCATTACGACTTTGCAAGCATTCAGCACATTTCAACTCGATCAACGTCAAATTTGCTTCACTTTTGCACTCACCTGAGGTATAAATCCTGTGTCAAGAACAGGCCGCCCGAACTCGACCTATGTGTGTGTGTTTAACGGTGCGAATGCGCCCTCGACGACAGAAACACTAAAGACACCTTGCCATGGCAGAGTAGACTTCATAGCCAAGATCAAAGTCAAGGTACCAAATATCCTTGACGTGTTATTCACAAATGAAATAATGAGTGTACCGTACAGCTTAGCAATGGACCTATAGAATAATACTGACGTTAATAAGAGCACTGTTAATTCAAGATTCTGCTTAAAGCAGAAAAATTCTTTAGGTCCCAATCCTCTTTTCTCTATGTTATTATTCCTGATAATATAAGGTTCTTGCTACAACTGGTAGTTTGCCAAGTCTGGAGGACCTCATATGAATGAGATTCGACTGTGTTACTGAAAACGAAGTCCAGTGTACAGACTTAGGATATCACAGTAGGACATAGCTGTTATCTGGAAACCATTATTGGCCATCAAGGATTCAAATCTTTATTCGCCAACTTTGTACCTACGTCAGTCATGCTGAACAGGTATACATGTACTTGAAACAAAACCAAGAAGTTGTTACATTTTATTCATGGCAAATCTGAATAGAGAGTTCCTGGTAGTTGATTGCTTATTTAGAATTCACTTTTAAATCTTTTATGTACATAATTTAGATGGGTAATAAAGTTTGTTCGTCACGTGGAACGCAGTGGTTTAACACTTTGGGTTTTTCCCATAATTCCTGAATCGAGACAAAATTACTTGACTGCGGTTGGATATTGCACACACAAGTCTATGATAGTGGCTGTAGCTGGTTCCCATTGAGCCATATGTAAATTCAAGCCGCAGCCAAGTGATTCATGGCAGAGGACGAAGAAAAAATACACTCTGGGTGTGAGGGAATTTCGCAGGTACATGTACATGATATCTAAACCCTGCAGGCTACTTGGGAAATCCCCAGTGTTGTCAAACTGACCTTAATTTCAACGACCATGAAACTTTATGACTTAACAAACTACTGTATACGACTATATGACCAGACGGCTTGTGGAAATCGGCGCCCAAATGCAAAAGTTACTGGTAGTAGGATTAAGAAAACATTTCAGATTTCCGGGGGAAAGCTTGCGACACTTCCTGGGAAAGGTACTGGTACTCATCAGAAAAGTCCATCAAATTGTTTTGTGGCAACTCGCAGGGGGGATATAAACCTTTTTCATAGTTTTTAATTTTTTTAAGTTGAGTTGACTTTTAGTTTGCACAACTTCTTTTTTTAACTAGTTGGTAACTAAAATCCCTCTTGTGGTGCTGTTGCTCATATTGTTAGGTTAGTAGTGATTCATGGCAAGGTAAGATAGATGTATGGTGAGTGGGTTGAACTGAAATCAGAGGGATTTGGTACACCCACAAAAACTATACGTAACGATTGCTTAACTCCAGGATTTCTGGTTTCCATAGCAACTCGTCTGTAAGCAGTTGAAATGGCGCCTGTTCTGTTCTTCCTTATATCAGAGCAAAAGTAGTTCTTATGATTATTCTGGCTGGACAACAAAGGTTCTGCTCACGCTGACAGGAAATGAACACAGGCGTGATTTTGTGACGATTAATCAAATGTGCTGCGCATTTGAAAAAGTTGAACACAAGTTTTCAACTCAGTGAATTTCGCTGCAATTATTTTTGGGTGATGTCAGATTCTTTTCGCTTGTGCGTTTTTATTGGTCAGAGCTGAAGTGACGTAAGCTACGAGCCAAGCACCGTTGAGTAACCAAGGTAAATGTGTCAGTGTGTTTATGAAACAACCATTGTGGTTGGTCACCATGTGAGAATTACGCTCTGAAGGCGTGCGTGGAATCTGTGGGGTATAAAAGAACATTTTCGTCGGACAAAAATCATACCACGTCTTGGATCCTACGGAAAAGTACCGAAAATTGTTGTTGGTGAGTTAATTGATTTGATTTTTTTTTAATTTAGAATTGAGATTTTTGCTTTTTTTAACTTATTAAGTTCGCCCCTTTGAGTTGCCACATTTGGGTGTACTTAGCGCCTACTGAGAGTGCATATGATTTAATGCACGATACACGCATTCGGACTAGGAAATTACACCGGACTAAAATTCTGACGAAAGCTGTTGTAGATAACCATTTACAAAAATAGGACAAGGCGGGAGGTGAAATCTGAACATGAAGATTTGCCTCTTTGCGAACAATGAGTTATATCTTTCTCTTTTTAACTGCAAACAGAGGAAAGGAGAAAATTAGAAAGAGTATCCATTTCCCCCGACAAAGAGAGGAATATTCGGAGTACCTCCTGTAGATGCACACTAATCTGTGAAATAAAACGCCTGAATTTGGAATGTAGGAAAACAAGAAAAAGTAAACTCTCTGCGGTTCAAAACGGTCTTCAGATTTTGTGACGCCGTAATAAAGTCCTCTTTAGCTTTCTATAAGGGAAACTGTGAATGCAATCCGAGCAGAGCTGGACGCTAACAAACATTTGAAGCGAGATGGGACGGAGAGAGCCCCCTGCCTTTGTGTTGGTCATTGTTTGATCGGTGTCTCAGGAATTCTTTACAGACTTCTGGGGGATGTGTTAGGTAACAGTAGTCTAGAGTGTGTAAAGGGATTGGACTTGTTGGGGGGGGACTTACCCCTCTGTCCAATTTTGTGACTGGTATCTGGGACACAAGCCTCTGATAAAGATGCATTACCAATTTTTTTGATATAAGAAACTATATGTAGTCTTTCAAAAGACAAAGTGGAATCGGATCTAAATCACATGATTTGAACAGATTTTACAACATTTTGGATATCGACATGTATATCCTTTGAAAAATAACACACCGGATTTCCAACAAAAATTACATCATAACTTTATGGAGAAATATCAATTTCTGCCTACGTGCTTACGGTAGAAAATTTATTTCTTTTCTATATCTACCTCAGCAAACATCTGAAAAGAAAACACATTAGGCTTGAGCTTGAACTGCTTTAGGTAAGCAATTGCCGTGGTCAAGCAAGAACCTCACAATTTATTAATTCATACAGTGCAATGACTGTCACATTATTGTACAAGTGTCACAAAAGATTAATACAGAGAGTTTTGAAAATGGTCTAACTTAATCATGCGTACATGTAGACGAGCACTGGTATGCATGAGTCAAAATTAAGCCGAATTATATTCCTAGAGACTGTTTGAGAAATGATGGCACTTTCCCATTCAGAGGCATTTCTTTCCTGTTTACTTTGCTTATATTTAAGCTTTGGTTGATTTCTGCCTTTATAACGCCCATTTTAGGAATTCTTTGGTTTAATTTTTGTTGGGCATGAGGGACCCGTTTGCATCTTACAAATTATGGTGGAATTTAGTGGTGGTTGGATTGTACTGTTGCGAATAAAGGATTGTGTTTGCAAAATCCTGTTTGATATCAATAGCATGCCACTACAGGACACATAGATTTAGAAGTTTTGGCTATCGTGACATAGGACCCATTACGATACTGACCGGTTTTTGGTTTCAACAAATACAAAATGAAGCTGTCAGATTTGAAATCCATATCCTTATACGATGAATGTTATGCGATGAAATCTAAGAAAACCGGTATAACTGATTAAAGAAATAAATGATATTGTAGAGTCCGCTAATGCGGCATTATGATGCTGCAAGCTCTTGCAAGAGGTCAGGAGTTATGGGATCTTTCCTGGCGACAGGCAAAGCATGGATAAGGTTGTAGCTTTGAATNAAAGCCGAATTATATGCCTAGAGACTGTTTGAGAAATGATGGCACTTTCCCATTCAGAGGCATTTCTTTCCTGTTGACTTTGCTTATATTTAAGCTTTGGTTGATTTCTGCCTTTATAACGCCCATTTTAGGAATTCTTTGGTTTAATTTTTGGTGGGTATGAGGGACCCGTTTGGATCTTACAAATTATGGTGGAATTTAGTGGTGGTTGGATTGTACTGTTGCGAATAAAGGATTGTGTTTGCAAATCCTGTTTGATATCAATAGCATGCTTTCGTGCCTTGCTGTGGTGGCACCCTGTGCTGTAGTGTGGCCACTACAGGACACATAGATTTAGAAGTTTTGGCTATCGTGACATAGGACCCATTACGATACTGATCGGTTTTTGGTTTCAACAAATACAAAATGAAGCTGTCAGATTTGAAATCCATATCCTTATACGATGAATGTGATGAATCTCTTCAAATCTAAGAAAACCGGCATAACTGACTAAAGAAATAAATAATATTGTAGAGTCCGCTAATGCGGCATTATGATGCTGCAAGCTCTTGCAAGAGGTCAGGAGTTATGGGATCTTTCCTGGCGACAGGCAAAGCATGGATAAGGTTGTAGCTTTGAAC